GAGCTGAGGGACAGCGCCCAGGCCCAGAGTTCAAGCCCCACGACCGACAAAAAAAAAAAAAAGAATATTCTAGAATATTCTCCTCTCCTTTTTCTCATAAGCAAGGACCCTCTGGTGGGGGGAGGGGGGTAGGTGAGTTGTTCCCTGCAGGGAACTGAGTAGCATCCATGGCTTCCATCCACTCCAAGAGCTTCGCAGTGAGCTCCAGAATGGATAGGTGGGTGGATGGGTGGATGGGTGGATGGATGGATGAATGAATGGATTGGTGGACAGTGGATGGATTGACGGATGGATGGATAGGTGGATGGACTGGTGGATGAATGGGTAGATAGATGAGTGGATGAATGGGTGGGTGATTGGGTGGGTAGGTTGGTGGATGGGGGATGGGGATCAATAGATGCATGGATGGGTAGATGGGTGGATGGATGGGCGAGTAGATGATGAATGGATGCATGGGTAGATGGATGGAAGAATGGTGGATAGAGGGGTGGATGAGTGGTTGGGTGAATAGATGATGGATGGGTGGATAGATGGATGGATAGATGGATGGATGGGTATATGGATGGACAGACTGGATGGATGGATGGATGGAGAGGTAGATGGGTGGGTGGGTGGATGGACAGTGGATGGATGAATAGATGGGTAGATGGATGAAGATGGCGGATGATGGACAGATAGATAGATGAATGGATAGATGGATAGATGGATGGATGGATGGATGAATGGATGGATGGATTGGTGGGTGGGTGGATGGATAGATGGATGGACAGGTGGATGGATGGAAGGATGGTGGATAGATGAGTGGATGGATGGATGCGTGAGTGGATAGATGGATGGGTAGATGGAGGGATGGATGGGTAGATGGATGGTGTGGTGAGACCCACAAGGCGCATGTATTGGAAGCTTAGTCCTCAGTGTGGTGCTGTTGGGAGGAGGTGGGGTAGGGGTCCACGGGGAGGTGTTCGTGTCCTTGGAGTCATTAACGTATTTTGGGGGGAAGCAGAAGGCCGAGTCCTTAGAGAAAGGGCAGGACGCAGCTCCTCTCCTGCTCGAGTCCCACTTCTCACGCTCTTGCTGTTGGGATGCCCCCCCCCCACGAGGAACTCATCTGAGCCAGGCCAACACCGGCACCATGGCCTTAAACCTAGAGGACGGCGCGTGATCACAACCCCCTCTGCTCTGTCCCATTCCTAGCCTGGGGGAGAGCACTGCAGTCACGGGAACCATGCACAGATGCCTTCTGAAAGGTCAGCTTTCCTGAGCAGCCAGCCCGTCCTTCTCCAAAGCCCCTCCCCTGACCTGCTCACCTCTTCTAGGACCATTGGATCATGGTCGTGAGGGACCCCCCCCAGAGCTCACTGGGCAGGGTGCCCGGGGAACCACGCTTCCTTCCTTCAACTTCTGTCAAAGAACATTCCCCGGCGGGGGTGGGGTTGGGGTCAGCTGGCACAATGCCACCCGTCCGTTGGGAGAGGGACCCGCCCACCCAGAGAGGGACGGCAGAGGTTGGGCACCCGTAGTTCACCCCAATAATCCTCGCTGACTCAGCAAGCTGAGATCTGGAGGATCTGAGCAGAAAAGTCTGCAAGATTTCACCTCCAGCAAAACGTTGGCCTTGGAGGCATGGTTCAGGCGGTACAGCACCAATGGAGCAAACAAGAGTACAGTGGGTGAGCATGAGGCCTTGAATTCAATTCCAGGATGGTACAAAAGGGAAGAGAGAGAAAAAAAAAGAAAACGAGGCTAGACAGGTCTAACAGGTGCAGTCAGAGACCGTGTGGAGGCCGAACACAGCCCAGCAGCCCCAGGGCACTGTTGCTCCACGTGACCCTGCTTTCCCTTCTTTTTGTCAGTCATGGGGCTTGAACTCAGGGTCTGGGCGTTGTCCCTGAGCTCCTCTGCTCAAGGCTAGTGCGTGCTCTACCATGTTGAGCCACAGTGCCCCTTCTGGTTTTCTAGTAGCTTGTGGGAGATCCCAGGTCTTGCACACCCTGCTCTGTTCCCTCCCTCCCTCCCCTCTTTCCCCCTTACCACCCTCTGCTCCAGCCACACAGACCTCTTCATCACTCCTCTATAATGTACCAGGCTCCAGCCTGCCCCAGGGCCTTTGCACAGCTGTGCCCTGTTCCTGTTCATGCTTCCTCACCCTTTAGGACACACACTGACCAGGCCCGCTTGTGCAATAGACAACCCGCACAACCAGGCACAAGCACCCTTGTGTGAAGGCGAGAGCAGGGTGTGCAGCAGACAAGGAACACCCGTCCTGATCCTGATTCCTTCTCCCTCCTTCTCAGTCAGACGCACACGGACCTCACCAGAAGTGCTGAGCCCCAAGGCTGCAAGCAAACGTGTTCCATCCCTTTGCCCCCAGACACCACAGAGGACTCACCCCGGGCAAGGTCTTCTGTTCGTGCAGGGCCGTCTGAGCTTTGATGGCAGAATCCCTGGCACAATAGGTAAGGAAGGCACAGCCTGAGGAGGGAAAGAAACAGTGTGTGTGAGAGGGGGCGGGGGGCGGGGGGAGGGCACCCCGTGTGCACCGTAGCCCAAAGGTGGGCGCAATCCCAGGACCCGCGGATGGATGGGAAGACACATACCATGGTACTGAAATATTACTCAGCCAGGAACAAGCACAGGGCTGTGGCTCATGCTACCTACAGCATGAAGGGAGCCCACCCACTCCCCCAAGCCACCTTGGCTCAGCAGGGAGAGCAGCGGACACGAAAGACTACAGGAAAAGTCTAGAACGGGGGGGGGGGGACCAGAGACAGGAAGTGACCGTGTGGTGCCCTGGAGCAGGAAGGAAGCGGGAGTTAGACTCTCATGGGGACCGGGTTTCCCGGGATGAGGCTGGCCGCCCACCGCTGCGCACGGATTTGACGCTGTCGAACTGAATGTACAGATGGCTCCCACCTGTCATCCCAGCTACTCAGGAGGCCGAGAGCTGAGGATCAAGATTCAAAGACAGCCCAGGCAGGGAAGTCTGTGAGACTCTTAATCTCCATTGACACACACACACACACACAAGCTGGAAGTGGAGCTGGGAGGGTGGGAACAGCAGCAGGGTGCAGCCTTCCCCCACCCATACCCACCCCCAAAGGGGAGCCCGGGAAGTGGAAAAGGGGAGGCTGGTTTGGTTTTCATTACCTCAGTAGAGCAATGACGTGGCTGAGATGGGGACTGGGCTCAGGAGGGGCACCAGAACCCAGAAGGAGGTGGCAGGGATGCATGGGTTTGGCAGACTGTGGCCTCCTGTCCCTTTCTGAGCCGCAGCCCCCTTCCCCGCTGCCCTCCTCCCCCCACCCCAGAAGATGCTGAGAGGGAAAAGCCAGTCGGGAGAGGCAAGGGGTGGGTCCATCCCTGGGGCGGTCCAGAGCAAGGCTGTGATTGGACGTCATCCTGAGGTGGGTGTGGCAGACAGGACAGACCCTTGGGAGTTGGGAGTGAGGCCTGAGGGTGACGGGCAGGGCCTGGGTTCATGCCAAGGGGGAGGGGGAGGGGGGATAAAAATTTAAAGAGAGCCTTTAATCACCTTTCTACATTTTTGTCCCCCTCCCAAGTCCTTGGGGGCGGGCAAGGGGGGAGGGAATATATGAAGACAATTCGCTTAAGGCCTGAAAGAAATCAGCCACAACTGGCAAGAAATCAGGCTGCAGGCAGAGGTTAAGCTAGATCACCATCTTTCTCCCTTGGCTGTTTTTCCTGGGGAGTCCTATCTGTGGGATTGGGGGGGGGGGTGAGCACAGGAGAGTAGAAGTGATTACCCTCCCCTCCCCCAAACCGCCTTAGGAACCTTCAGTCCTAGGGTCCCAGGAAGAAAAATGGCATCCAAGTGTGCAGCAGCCGGGGACCGCTGTCCGTGGTGCTGAACCTCACGCCCGGGCCTTCCCCTCCAGAAAGCTCCTCTTACTCTCAGCTTTCTTGGTCTCATTCAGGGGAAAGAAAGTGTGGCTCTGCTTCCCCTCTCCCAAATATATACAGCCTTAGAGTGTGGCTCTTGTTGCAAGCTGGTTTGTATGCCTCTGTTGAAGTCCTGACCCCTGGAATGGAGGAGGATTTAGAAAAGGACTCCTAACCGGGTGCTGGTGGCTCAGGCCTGTCATCCTAGTTACTCAGGAGGCTGAGATCTGAGGATTGCAGTTCGAAGCCAACCCTTTTTTTGGGGGGAGAAAAGTCTCTGTGAGACTCTCATCTCCAATGAACCACTCAAAAACTGGAAGCGGCGCTGTGGCTCAAAGTGGTAGAGCGCTCGCCTTGAGCAAAAGAAGCTCAGGAAGAGAGTCTGGGCCCTGAGTTCAAGACCCACAACTGACAAAAAGAAAAAGAAAAGGTGTCCTAGCGGGAACCAGTGTGATGTGACAAGACCCAATACAGTCTCCTCGTGCAATCGGGGGACATTTTGGCTGGGCACAGGGACTCACACCTATCATCCCAGCTACTCAGGAGGCTGAGACTCAGGATAGTGGTTGGAAGCCAGAGGAGAGGAAGGTGGGGAGTTTTGTTTTTTGTCAGTCATGGGGCTTGAACTCAGGGCCTGGGTGCTGCCACTGAGCTCTTTGGCTCAAGGGTAGCGCTCTACCACTTGAGTCATTGTACCACTTCCAGTTTTCTGGTGCTTCATCGGAGATAAGAGTGTCACAGACTTTTTCTGCACAGGCTGGACTGTGATCCTCAGATCTTAACCTCCTGAGTAGCTAGGATTTCAGGCATGAGCCACCAGCACTTGCTTATTCTTGAAATAACCACCGAGATCCTCCTTCAATCTCATCTAGACACCAAACGTTAGATCTGCAGGGTAAAATGAGTCACTCGGTCACTGGACCTGGGGCTCTGATCTCCAGGGCCCAGGTGGAGCTCATGCCAATAATCACAACACAAAGGAGGCAGAGATCAGGGAGATCCAAGTATGAGACCAGCCTTGAGTATAGAGGAAGGACTTTTTCTGGAGAAAAAAGAAAATAACTAAATTAAACAGCACTGAGGGCGTGGCTTAAGTGGCAGAGGTGGAGCTCCAGCCGCAGGGGCGGGGCTAAAGTAATACCGCGCCAGTCTACCAAGCCCTAGGCCTTGGTTCAATTCAAACCCCATCCCGCAAAGAAAAAAAATTTAAGTTAATTTCAAAAGGAGGAAAAATAAAGAAAAACCAGAAGACTGGGGTGATTCTTATGCACAGATCTGACCTTCTGTCCCTTCCCGGAAGCCTCTGACCTCAGTCACAGCCCACACTCTCTCTGGTCACCTTTGAAGCCACCATTTCCTTGGTGGGCAGCCCTCCGTGGCTCCCAGTGCCATCAAGACAAAGCCGAGTCCACCCTGAACAAGCCGCCCCTGTCCCCTCCCTGCTCCTCTCCTCCCTCTCTGCCCCTTGCTTCCTCCACACCAGCCACATGGGCTCCTCCATGCTCCTCCACACACCAGGCTCCATCCTGCCCCAGGGCCTTTGCACAGGCCATAGCCTTCTGCTCAAATGCCTTTCCGTTGGCTTTAGAACAACAGTCTTCCCATTGGTCACTTCTGTAGTCATCACAAAGTGCATCTCTGACCACCAAACCATGCAGTCATCTTCCCCAATACACATTGTGAATTATTTTGTTCACAACTACCTAGCGGTATTACATTCACATATCTGGCTGGGCGCTGTTGGCTTATGCAAGCTCATTCTAGCTATTCACTCTGGAGGAGGCTGAGACCTGAAGAATAGAGGTTCAAAGCCAGCCCAGGCGGGAAAGTCTGTGCAGCCCTATCACCAGTCAACCAGCAAAAAAAGCCAGGCTTCAGAGAATGGCAGAGTAGAAAGCGAAGCGGGGACACAGGTTCTGAGTTCAAGCCCCAGTAGTGGCACACATGAAAATATATGATTCTAAGTGTTACAACCACCGCAGAGCTGCCCAGCCATCCACACTCCTCACCTCCCACCACAGTGACAGAGGCCCAAAGCACACAAAGTCACGCGTGGAAGTTCCCGCAGACAGAGAGCAGCACAAGCACCAGGGGCACCTGGCTGTCTAGGTCCCACGCACCAGGTGACACCCATGTTCACCCGGAGTGATGCCCTCCTGCTTCTACCCCACCCACCCACCATCGCCAATCCCCCCAAATCCATTCATTCATCCATTGTACCATCCAACCATCACCCACCCATTCACTCCACCGATCCATCCACCCACTACTCATCCATCTGTCCATCCATCTACACTTCCATCTGTCCATCCACCCACCCACCCATTCATCCACCCATCCATCCATCCACTCACCCATCCATCCATCCATCATCCACCCACCCACCCATCCACCCATCATCTACCCATCCATCATCCACCCACCCACCCATCCATCCATCCATCTACCTATCCAACCACCCACCCACCCATTCATCCATCCATCTACCCATCCATCCATCCACTCACCCATCCATCCATCCATCATCCACCCACCCACCCACCCACCCATCCATCATCCACTCACCCACCCACCCATCCATCCATCCACCTATCCACCCACCCACCCACCCATCATCCATCCACCCAACCATCCATCCACCTATCCA